GGGAGAGAGAGCGGCCGCGCGCGAAAGGAGGGCGCAAGGGGAGTAAGAGGAGCAAGCGGACCCGGGAAACCGGAGGTGCCGGACGGGAACGCGGCGGGGAAGGGAGGACCCTGCCGGGGGGAGGCAGACACATGCGGAGCCTGTAAAGAGAAATGGAGCCCGTGAGGCTGAGCGTGGGCGCGGCGCGCGCGGCGCGGAATGAAATGGAGAAGGTGTGTGTGGGGGCGGCGGTGGGCGGCGCGGGGATGAGGGCGAGGGCGAGGGTGGCGGCTTCCCCGCGAGCCTCGGGTTGCGATGGCGCCAGTCGAGGAGAGAGCCCGTTAGGCAAGTCCTATCACGAGATAACGCTAAAAGCCGGGAATCGGAAACCTGCTTACATCGCGCTTAATGGGTACGCATTGTCAAGTAATGAATGTACGAGTCGAAACATTAAGAAAGCTTTTAAATTTCATGAGAACGGCGAACTAGCACGTCTAGTAGATATGGATGGGAAATTGTTAATTAAAATATCCATATCTAAAGCGATAATGTGGATTACTTGCCTCGAAGTCTTTTGTAACACTATAATTTACTATCTAAACCACGAGTGTGCAAAGTAATATTCTTTCCTCATCATTTGGAAATAAAATTCTCTGCAAAAACACTGCCATAAAAAGAAAAAAGGATAATAGTTGTTGATAATATGTTTTATGCATAAAATTGTTGATTCGAATGATTTTCATATCAATCCTTGAGGTAGTAAAATTCGAGACGTATTCGTCAAATGTCTCATCCACACAATGTGAATTTATTTTGAAAATAAATTATATTGATAGAATACTAAATAACAGTACATGACACAATTATTCATTTTAAAATGTGAATGCAAATTTGAAATACGTTTTTGAAGTATACGTTTTGAAATTCCTGGACGCATAAAGACATCGAATATTTGCATTCTACACAATGTCGCAGAAAAATGAGGTACACTAGTTGACGGAATTTCAAATGACTGAAAACTCGGTATTTGTTAGCGATTTCTCACTAATAAACAGTACAGTAACACATTCAAAAACAGCTTCCACAGTACCGGAAAGTATATTAGAATATTACAATGTCCCTAATCAATATAATGGCTGTCTCTGCTTGTAATGCATGTTTCCGAAACACGCTGACCTACATACACTCGAACGCGAGACCTTCTCAAGGTGAAGCTCGGGCTCCGGAAGATCGCATGCGGCGAGAGGGTCTATCGGCACTGCTCGCGCATATCTTTTTACGAATGTATACTTTCTTTCCACTGTCGGATTCACGTGGACTACACCGGGTTCTTCGATATGTTCCACACGAGGGTGCTAAAAGTTGCGATACATCTGTAGAGAGAGACAGAGAGAATGAGAGAGAATGGGCTTTGGGGAAATCGCGGAGCGAAGGGTAAGGGTGAAAAACGGGGTGGAAGCAGCGTCGGATTAAAATACATCCCTGGCGAGTGGAAAGATTATTTTAAAGCGCCTGTTCTGTTTTCTCTGAATCCGAATAATTGCAGCTGCCGGAGCTGCAATCGCTTCCTAAATGTGTCAAAAATTACTGTCAGTTTCACGTAATATCCGAAAATAGTTTTAGGATATTCTAAAATTATTCAGAATTTCAATTTTTTAAATTGTTAGTTATTTTTAAAGATTTTCTCAGTTTCCATAATTGAAAAAATGCTCGTTGTTAAAATAGAAAATGCATTAAAAGATTTAATATATATCAGGTAATTTATTTTTTCGTTCCTTTTCTTACAGAACAACGTTTTGCATTTCATAATTTATACAATCCAACCCATAACGATCAACATGGGCTTTATACAATATTTTGAATGTGTAATTTTCACCCCAGACGTGGATAATCTGCAATTTGAAATAATCAGAAATAATCGACAATCAGAAATAATCGGCAGAATACATTTAGCGTGTCCGGGACGTGCTTGACTTTGCAACGTAATACAAATATCTATTGGCGAGAGGATCTTCATTTTTTAGATATTAATATTTGGTTCGCAATATATGCATTGTGCCTCTTCATCCATATAAGTTTGTAGAACGATTAGGAAGAATTGTGGTATATGTATCCATCAGAAACAGAATCCATCTCCGAATGTTTAGTCTATAAACCTTGACAACGTATCACTTTTGTCAATAATGTGTTGTATTGCGCATGACGACACCCAAGATTTGGTTCTGATGCGTTCTGCTTTAAAATTATACGGAAACATTGTTTGTGTGAAAGTCCAAAACTCTTTGTTGTCATCCAGACTTCCTTGCACGCCTGCAGGAATGGAACATAAAAATCTCTCATAGATAACACGTCATCTATAAACTGTACACGTATTAGTTCCGGAATGTTCGTCTCGTTAATGCCAAACGATCAAAAATATATGGAAAATTAATGACATGTTTTCTCATAGGAGGAAGTCCGGCGAGATTTCAACTTCTAGAATTCAGTTAAGAGGATAAAAGTGTAAATTACTCCAACTCAAATTAATGAAATAAACATTAAAATTTATCTTTATATTTTAAGTAGCATAATATGTATACATAAGCAAACTAACTTCTGAAAGGCTCTTAAGTGATAAACAACCAGAGATATATGGCTGAATACTTTCTGGAGTGAGTGTCCCTTCAAATGAGAGGACGAAAGAGTGACCAGTCAATGGGCAGTCACCTGATTTTTAAGCGGTACTCTTTCCATCTCATTTAAGAATTATATTTTCCGTCAGGGCCTCACGAACTTCCCTCAGAATTCTCAATATGATCAGTTGAACAATGGTAGAACCGTGATCTCAAAATTTTTAAAGTTTGAGAAAGAATAATTTTGCTTTTATCTCTCTTTTAGCTCAATCCTTCATCCAAGTTCTTAATTATTAATGTTTTCTTTTGAGTTCCCTTATCACTTCTACCGACCATCTTGACGTAATCAAAAATCCCTTACCGGACTGATTGTACATTTTCAGATAGAATTCGTTGTCACAGTATTAATCAACTCCATCTTCGGCCTTCCAATCGTCTCTGCAAAGTGAAACTATTGTCTGATGTTGTTACTGATACCTACAGTAAAAATACCAGTAGTAGTCACAGTTAAAAACATTTTGGAAGTTTTCTCAAAATTCTTGTGCTAATACTAAATTTTTTATGTGAAACTCAACGAGCAATTTGCACACCTCTAAGTAGATCCCTTGCCTAAAACCTGCTTGTTTGTTCTATATTTTGTTTACTTTACTTGTATTTTTAAACTGTGAATTCATTCCAGTAGTAGCCATTTAAAAAATAGTAAAACTTTGTGGTAGTAGTCACATGATTGAATCAGTAATGGCGAATAAATATTTTGCCCCTAAATGTATCCAAAATCAACAAAATTAAAAAAAACGTACCATTCGTTTTACATTATTGCATTGCCAATAGATGCTTCAATCTTATTATTTAAATATAAAATAAGGAGGAAAATACTTTATCTCCGTTCTAATCCTCAACACTGTAAGGTATTAGCTCCACGTTCGGCAAGTTAAATGCCAACGGGAAGCATTAATTTTCTTTTTTTTTTTAAATGTGCCTGAAGTGGCCACTCCTGGTGTCATTTTCCTACTTCCTAGCATTATGGTAAAATAAAATTACGAGTCATTTCTGAAATATTTTCGAAACTTGCCTACGAGTTCATAGTATGTCCCGTTAGGTGCTGTGATACGATCGACTGACCGGCAACGCAGTGAGCTGGCAGTGTGGGCACGACCACCGCTAGTGTGATGACGCGAGTGGCGGCACGTGTGAGGAGACTGTGCACATTGTGTAGTAGCGCAAGAGCGGGCAACCAAACTGAGAGGACAGGGTTTCCCTGCCACCTGTCCTTCCTGTTACGACAAAGACGAGTGTAATGGCTATGATAGTGCTCTGACGTTTAGTTAACAACCGGTTTAATTTTCTAAATAATTTTCTCATTCATTTTTTCTTAATATTTCTATCATTGTAGCTGATAATTGCAGCTTTATCGAACTTGTATAAACAATGTTGACTTCTTTTCTTTCGCAAAAATGCAGAGACGAAAATATTATGTAAATGATATGCCTTATTTGTCTTAAAGGTAGCCCACACACGCAGGTCATTACGTTGAATTACCAGTGCAAATGAAAATTTATGTGCGCGGTCCCGCAGGTTTATTATACTATCTACATCCATCGCTGTCAAGACCATACTGATCATTTTGATAATGAAATGCTCAGCAATGTAAAATTATTTTTAAAGTAAAGTTAATGTTGCGGAAATCTTCTTATATTAATTAAGCGTGAAATGTGTATTTTAATTTAATATTTTAACCCATTAAAAATTTAGTGGCTAAGCAAACATTTTTATAATACTTTCCGTTTTCGAAAAATACAAGTGTTGCCATTCAGTTTTAAATATCACCGGACTATTGCCAGAGCTAATGAGAATTCCAAACTAATACCAGAGTTGCTTGCTTCTTATTCCGTGATATACAGACAAATTATGTAGTGTCTCGCGTAAAGCTGAGGCGCCCGAAGGCTTACACTTGGCGATCTCGAAGTCACCCCTCTCGCGACTGCTCCCGCCCCCCGTCCCGACTACTGGTGGCAGCTCTTTGCTCCCGTTCCGCCTTTCTGATGAGCCCCGGAGTAAAGGAAGGGCCCTTGCCGAGCGCGTGCGCTGAAGCGTGGGCGGTGGTGCGCAGGTGGCTGCGCGGCCGCGGCGGGCGCAGCGTGCCCGTGCAGCTGGGCGGGCGCGTGGCGCAGGTGGGCGGCAGCCTCTTCCTCGAGAGCGCCCAGGTGGAGGACAGCGGCCGCTACACGTGCGTCGTCAACAACAGTGTCGGCTCCGAGCGCGTGCACACCACGCTCGTCGTCTCTGGTGAGTACCCGGGCCGTGCGCTGGCCCTTGCTCGCTGGATATTCCCTTTCGGTCTCTCCTTTTTGGATATCTCCTTTTGGTTGCCTTCCATTTGAATCTCTCCTTTTTGGATCTCTCCATTCTAGTTTTCTCTTTTTGGATCTCTCCTTTTTGGATATCTCCTTTTTGGATATCTCCTTTTTGGATATCTCCTTTTTGGATATCTCCTTTCTGGATCTCTCCTTTCTGGATCTCTCCTTTCTGGATCTCTCCTTTTTGGATCTCTCCTTTTTGGATCTCTCCTTTTTGGATCTCTCCTCTTTGGATCTCTCCTTTTTGGATCTCTCATTTTCCTTGTTCTTTTCGTAATTTCCTATTTCTTATAAGAAAAATATTATAGTATGTTTTAGGGAAATGGTAAATAGCAATATTCTTTAAGGAGTCTGGATCAGACAAAAATAATTGGATATTTCCAATACTTTTTTCAATCTCACTAAAATTTTCTTGTTTTATATCCTTGTGCTAAACGATATGTTATTTTAAATCATCACAAGATTTATGGCTGCATCCTGAAAGGGTTTATCATTTTGTTTCTGTTTTGAGAACTAAAAACTGAACTGGTCTGTATAGTGATTTAATTTTCTTCCTTCCCGGAGAACTTTTATCAGTTCTGGAATCTGTCCATTTTACAATGTAAGTGTATTCGCTTTACTTTAGAATCATCAGAAAAATATTTGGGCCTCTCCAATGGTCTTTGTAATGATGATATGAAATATTCTCTTCAAAACAAAGATCACATGTTTTGTGGGACATAGCGATATTATTTTACATTTCCTTTGTTTGGCATTGTATTTCTGTTGTCGCTAGTCCCCCCTTTGCCTTTAAGGACTTTTTGTTTGGTTTCGGATTGAAACGCTTTTACTTCCGTTTTCGCTTCCCACTCTCCATCTCTGCACACCAACTTTTGTGTCACATTTGTCGTTGCATTCTGCCAAGGTTCTTCATTCACAACACACTTGAAGCTGCAAAGATGATGTCCGCGAAAGCACTTCTCTTGATGGAGTATTGCTCGTGGCATTTTATACGCTCTATTCTTGCTGCCTCAGCGACAATATTGTGTCTATATTACTTCACAAAAGAAAATGGTAAAAGCCGTCAAGATGGAGAGTCGAATTTGAAGGGTACACAATCAAAATCCAAAGAATTTTTTTCGTTGAAAGCATGTTTTAGCAAATCGGTTGTACACTTATTATAAGGGAAGATGTTTAAACTAGCTGAAAATGATTATTTTACGTTGTATATAATCAACAGAAATATCGATTTAAATTGTTCATGAAATAATTCAGCAATTTATTGCGACTAATTTAAACAGTCAATGAGAATCAGCAAGTACTTACTCATTTTACTCAGCCTTTGTTGTCGGCTATAATATTGTATGATCCAAAAATGAGTTGTTAAATCATTTACTGGAGATACTATCGCAAAAATTATAAGATAAGCAATATCAATTATCAATATTGTTTAACAACAATAAAACAAAACAATTTAACAGATCAATACAAAACATTAGATCAAAACAACCCCATAGAACAAAACAATATAAAAACTAAACATTAAAAAAACACGATACGACTCAACACAGTGCAACAGAATAAGACAGCACACAGTGGTTTTTCAAAAATAGCACCTATAATCCACAAAAACAAAAAATAAAATACTTTTATATAACACTGTAACAATCTTCACGAATTTTGAAATAACATAATATAGCATATATACTGTTCAACAGTTCATTATGCACGAATAATTTGAAAACACTTACTTATCCGCATGGCAAAACGTGCATAGCAAATATTTAAACGCGGTCGACCTTTTATTTTGAGACTTTCTGCCTCACGACACAGATTTGGAAGTAGTACCTACAAATTTATCGTGTGGGATTATTGCGATAAGTCGGCCATTGACCGTAGTTCCACACTAGCAGTTCCACCCAGGCTTTCTTTGAAGCATACCCTAGTCCTGTGTCTAGGGGCTCTTTCGAGTAGGCGTGCCCGGCGGGCGACCACTGATTCACCTGGGTGTTATTCTCACTTTCTCCGCTAATGTTGGTCTCAGCTAACTATAGCCGAACTGTCCTGTTGGGAGAACGTACATCTCGTTAGTCTTTGATATTGCCGGAGGGATTTGATTTTGTTGTGCGTCTGGCAAGGTTCTTTTACACGCCACAAGCATGACATGGGCACTGTGGATTTTATCGCCCTCTGAAAATCCAGGCACATACGCCCGAACCCGGGCACTGGCAGTCCAGTAAGTTAACCAAGTCTACCGATGCCGAAAGCAGTGGCGAACTGAATTTCAGAATTGAGTCATTCGTGCAATGTGAGAATAAGTGGAATTACATGACTAAATATTGCATTTTTCAGCCAAAATGGAAACAGTTTCTTTGTTTAAGAATTTGTGTCCCAAGTTTGTAGATATGTAACAAAATAATAGGCATATCTCACATGGCGGGAAGCTGTTTAGTTTTCTTTGAATTGTATTACAAATTAGTAATATATGTTAGTTGCCTGCTGAAAAAAATACACGAAAAGGTTTTCCAAAATGTAGCACGTACTCTGATCAAGAACAACAAATAAAATACTTTCTTATAACACGGGAATACATTAAACATTTTACCAAAAGCCTGACTTGAATTTCGTAATAACAGTGTAGTGCATATACCGTATAACGTATCTTTACATACCAGGCATATAAAGAAGATGCTGATCCATAGTGCAGCACGTGAAGGGTAAATATATATAATGGCATGCGTCTTCTTTCGAGGAGACTTGCCGACGCATGACGCCAGCTGTGTCTCAAGCAGTGTCTCGCCGAATGTGAGAATTCAGTCGGTACGCGCAGTGAGAGAGTAGGTGGAATAACACAATAAAAAATTTGTGTATTGCTATGAAATATAAACTTTCATTATTTTTGTATTTTTTCCGAGTACCTGTGTATTTAAAGAAACCATAGAAACCTCTCACAAGGCCGGAGCATGCATAGGCTTCTTTCATTCTTATTGGAAATTAGTAATATAGATTACACAATATTTTATTCGTATAAATTTAATATTCCCATTTTTCGCAATCACTTTTTGTGTTAAATCTCTTTTTAATATCTAAAATTATGGTCTCTTTTTCTTATTTGCGTAATGCGACATTCGTCTGGAAGCGTAGCAATCCAATAAAATATAGTTGGCCGAGGTAATTACGAATTTAAGTATGTTGCCCAAAACTAATATAATTTGGTGGTCTGCATTTGCTTCTCACACCTCGATCAATATGAATGCAAGAATGATATCCACAACCCTGTAGCACAGTGCGCTTGTCCCACCGGTGTATTTGACCTCAGAACAAACGCATTCTTTGTTGTTGCTTAATTATTATTGTCATATCGTCTTACACTGCCGCCCAGAAGCGAACAATGGCTTTATTAGGACGATATGCCAATTTATAATTTTGTTCAGAAACGTCAATTGAGATTCAGTTCTTTTACCTGCAGAAAGTGTGTGACATGAAACAACCGGCTTTACTTTCTTTTGCAAAAAAATACAGGAATCCTCAAACTCAGTTATAAGAGTCGAACATTTTTATGAAACTTCATGTACCGACCGCGACGACTCTCACATGAACATGTTCCTGGGATCGATTAAGAAGCTTTGTCATTTGATGCATTTTGTTTCTGACGATAGAGATTCCCAATAACTATGAACCGACGATTATTAATTTGCTAATATGAACTGTGAAATTCAGATTTCCCAATAGATGTTTTAGGAATTTGAAAGCACTAGGCATGATGCCAATAACGTCACACAAGCTTTTAAATTTTAAAAAAGTTTTATCTCCACAATCTTGTTGCTCTCTTTTACTTCTCCTAAAATCGCGCTTCCAGTTGACAAAAATTGCACTCAAACGAAAAATTGAAAAAACTTATTATTTTATGTTCCGAATTATGGTCCAAAAATGTGTTTAGGTGTAAAGTTCGTCGGTAAAAAAACACATTCTTTCTTGCTTTTGAATGAGAAGCCCAAAAGTGTGATTAAAGCCAAATATTAGACGTTTGGCAAAGGAGAATATTTAAGTATATTGTTGTATATGTAAATAACGCTCTCACCATATTAAACATAACAATTCTAAGTGCGTAAATAATAAAAAAGTATCGAAAAAATATTTCACTTTCTTGGTAATGTCTTTTGAAAAACATGCTTGGCAAAAATTGGTGAAATGTCGAATTTTTATAGGAATTGTCCCCGCACTCACTATTTCAAGACCGCTACCATATTTTCTGTGTTGGCTGTGATCCCATAGATTCAATGTTGTTGTTTTTTTGTTGTGCTCGCGAATAGGCCGACTTGGACCACGTGTGCACCCTGCATTTACAGGGGCTCAGTACCATAATCTCGGTCACAGGTGCATGTAACTTTATCAGGGATCAGCATTTTATCTGCATACTAGTGTTATCCCTCAGGGTGTTCGCCCTGGGGGTATGAAAGATGAAGTGCTGATAAGGAAGGCAGAACGGACGACACACACACATACAGACATAAACTAATACACCCATATCCGAGGTGGAACTCGAACCCAAGATCTTCTGGACCACGACCGCTACGGCACTACTGCCTTAACGATCTCGGTCATCTGATCGGCAAATTCAATGATATATTAATTAATATTTCACATTCTTCGTACAAAATATTTGCTTAGCACGAACGTGCTGTGATTATTATTGTTTGTTGTGGTTTAACATGACACGAAAAAAAGATTTATTTACCTTTCTTAAGAAAGTAATGTTTCCGTTTTATTAACAATTCTTTCTTCGTCGTCTCGGAAATATATACCGTGTTTCAGATCCCTCAAGTAACCGTACCATAATTTAACATTTTTATATTCTATTGAACTTTTATACAAACTTTTGTGATAATGTATAAATAGTGAAACGTTAAATTTTTATTAGTAAAACGGCAACCTTTTCACAAGATTAAT